ACACATCAAGACACATACTGAACGAGTTGCAAACATGTTAGGATATTCCTTTCTTAACTCTGATCTCTAATGTATTTTTTTTCTTACTTATATCGATTTTAACCATACAATGTTTTCTTTATTCTCGTTTTATTATTTTAAGCTGTTGGATGTTATATATATTTAGTTGAATTGCATTTATTATATTTCCAGTAAACACAACGGATCCCCCTTTTCGCCGAAAAATCTATCAAGATGTTCGATCAGCGAATAAAAACGTTGGCGCATACAACTGGTAATCAAATCATTGATGATTTGTTTAGGTTTTCAAATATAATTAATCGAATTCCCCGGAAGATCGGGGTTGGAGTCTTGGTCCAACCAACATCTAAAGATTATATAAATGTAAAGGGAATACAAACGCTCTCTATTGGTTAGAAAACCATCAAGACATACAACATAAATTAGGAGAGGAGCTTGGAAAAGCAAGCAAAACACCCAACAATAATGTAATTTGTAATTGATTACAACGAAGGTTTTGTTATGTTTGCTGGGTAGTGAAATCCATGCTTTCAATTCGTTGCGGGCAATTTGCTTTTCAGATGAAAAAAAGAATGAAACGAATTGCAAATAATTTTTTATGCGAAATTTTGATTGTTACGGAAGTAGGAATTTGTTATTCTAACAAGCTTTCACGCTTTTTTACGTTTTCATCTTTTGTTACTTTGCCACTACATTTGCATTTATCTTTGGGTTTCTGCCATACATATGCATTATTTTGAGTTTATATGTCCATACACATATGCTTTTATGTACATTTATTTGTATTTGAAATGCAACTGTGCAAAACCATAGAGGATATGTCACAAAGAGCGGAAGCGTATATTCTATAAAGCTCCACTGAAGCAGAATCGTCAGTTTTGAATGCATTGTAAGTTTGGTTCTTTTTTGTAAACGGAAAACGTATGCATTAACAATTATTTGGAAAAATACAAATGTATAAACTTTTTTTTAGCTACAATGAAGCTTTCTAATAATAATATTAGAAAACACCTTTATTTATATATGAGTGGGTCAATTTATAAAGATTAAAATGTTGCTTCAAATCGTAAGCAATCTAATTGATAGTGAAATTCCAAATCGTAAGCAATCTAATTGATAGTGAAATTCCAGGAGCCGACTTTTTAAAAATAGCTCTTTACCAATATTTAGAATAATACTGGCCCCGCTTCCCAAAATCAATTCAGAAAAAATGATGAAATATCATATACGAGAGGATTTAAAAAAGTTCGGTCAGTTGAAATTAGGTCAATTAGTTTTTGGTAAATCTAATTATACCAAATCCTTTACAAATACTTTATTAGTCTTCCTTCCAAGTTTTAGAACTACGCAAATACGAAAGTTAGGTTAGGATAGGTCAGACGAAATTCCATCACCATCCCAAATAGAAATTCGCCATGTAATTATTTCGGGTTTCGTCATAATTTACAGCCGACATAAATATTCAGTGAATATCAAACTGCATGTGGAACGACTGCACCGTCTTTAAAGACTATTTCTAAGTGGTTCCGACGAGTCTAGACCGGAAATTTTTCCGTAGAGAACGAGCCCTGAAAGGGTCGACCAAAATCTGACGAAGATCCGCGATTGACGCAAGAAATGGGCTTGAATGCCATGGCCGTATTGCGAATATTAAGTAATCATCTGAGGTACACGAAGAAATCTGCTCGATGATTACCACAAATTTTAATTGAGGCCGAATTTACTAAATGTTTCCTAAAGTAATTCGAATCATTCTAGTAACTAACTGAAGTCGTTACTGGTAACGAATCTTGGTTCTATAACTACGATCCAGAAATTAAACAGCGGTCCATGATATGGAGCCCAACAGTTTACGTCACACTATCTTAAATCGTAGCTGCTACTACCAAAAGGATTTGCGGCGCTTCTTCTTACATCGCGCCATCTCACATTTTATTGCGGTCTCTGGGATAAAAGAAATATGACCAGCCACATTTAATACGGTTTATGTTGAACTTAAGAGGCTTAAAAAGCAAGATTTTGGAACCTTTTTTCAGAAGTGGATCTTGGGTAATGCATTGAAATCAATTATGTAGATGAAAAAGGATAAAGATTTCGAATAAATACACATATAGTTTTTTTCCTCGTCAACTTACCAAATTTTTGTTAATCACCTCGTAGAATGTTTTATATACATGAAATTTCAGTTAAAACTCTATGTAACATATTCGGTTATATGTTTTGTTATCTAGTAATAGTAACTTTTCGCACAGGAACAAAATATCTTTGCGCAAACCTCATGAGCATTTTCATTATATATTTAGTTTTCTAATTTTCTGCTTTTGTTCGAAATGCGTCAATATTTTTTAAAACGAAAAATTCCTGGAATGGATTTTTGATTGCTTTCCTAATTTCAATATTTTAACGACCGTAGCAAATTTTTGTTTTCATCTATGCATCCAGTATTTTCTTCCTTATATGAATAAAAACAAAACCTATTACCACCAAAACATTAAAAGTCGGTAAGAATATCCTTGAGCTCACAATCCACAAAAGCCTTTTTTGAAATTTGTCTTTTGATGTTGGTCAGAGCAATGTATAAAACTTGCGTTTTGTAATTGCGACGGATAAAAAATTTGTGAAACATCAAAATCATGCAAAATCTAGTAAAATTTGTGCTTATTTGTGTACTAGTATTAAAGATTGATTTAATTTTTTATCACTAATTTAGTTTTCAATAGATAATTTTGGAAAGTTGATACATCAGCACTTTAAAGTATTTAGAAAATTATTTATTATTTGTCACAGTATAAGCTATGACGTGAACTCATTAATTAACTTTAATTTTTTATTTACATTTATGAAGTCTACTTTGCTGTGCTTTTAAAACTTAACAACCAATTGAGTTGTTTGCTTTGTTCTTTAAGCTTAATTTTAAGCCTTTTTAGAAGATTGTTTAGCTGTTTTTATCTTTTTAGGGCCATTTAGCTAGACCTCTGAGTAACCAAAACTGAATGAAGCAAAAGGACAACTAATGAAAACGAAGCTCTACATATGGCACCAAATAAATTTATGAGTGCTAAGGTAATATGCTATTCCACCTCTCTCTACTAATCCCCTGCTTACTCTTCAAGTGGTGGAACTGTATACCTCACTTGTGAGACCCAGATTAAGTATGGTGAGCTGGCACCATTTGGTTTGATCTTTTCCGTCCACGGACTCACTCTTTATCTTCTGGTTATGACTTTCTGTTTTGAGCCCTTGATTGTGGCATTGTGTTACCTGTATTTTTGGGGGGATACTCTGAAGAAATGACTTTCAGGCTAATGTCACAACTGTCTCTGTCCCGTTAAAATCCTGGAAGGCCTCGTAGTACGTTTCGATCTCGCCGTCATTGAGTGTATGATGTAGGTACAATTGAGAAGACTCCTGTAGTTTTCACTGGATCTGACTTTGAGCGCCTTACCTCATAAGGGTGGGTGCTAACTCGCATGGCCTCCCTGTTTTTCCATGATTTCATAGATAACCATAAGATCCCATAGTGACTACACGTTTTTTAGTAAGAATAGCGACCACGAGTAAGGACCCAATTAGCATGGACAAGCCAAATCTTACTAATAAAATTCCAACCTTACCCAAACTGGAATGGTTAATGCAGGCTCAAGCACCTGCAGCAACTTTCTGCTCAAAAACGGGCAATACCGGTAGAAATACCGTGAATAAGGGCGTTATGGTGGGGCCCTGCTCAAGTAGGATCATAGAAAAGATAGCCTGGGCAACGTGGGATCAATCCAAGTCCAAAAGACTTGTATGATGATAGAGGTCTCACGGCCTGGTGTTAGTGGATACCGGCGACAAGTGACCACACAAAACACAACCGAGGGGGGCAGCGCTGGCAACTACGAGCCACTCCAATAAGGACAAAGACCTCTCACGCTGAAAAAGGGAAGGCCGTAGGGACATTAAATAAATACGACAGGATCCCTATAGAAACGCGACCAAAAAGCGATAAGAGCTAAAGCCCTACTACCCAGCTTCCAAGCAAACTTCGTGGCTACAGTGGACAGACGCTAAGTCTCGTCTAAGAGACAGAGGTCGACAGAGGAGCAACCCCCTCTATTGAAAAAACCACGCGCGGCACACAAACCCAGTTTTGCGGAATTCGCAAAGGACAGAACACTGATGGGAGTTCTGGACAGAGGGAGCGTGTCCGGAGCAATTCCAAGATATCAGTGTTGGTGGGTGAAGGCAGCCTTGGCTAACCTCATCCTAGGAGTTTTTCTTGAGAACCACGTAACCCCTCTTGCCTGTACGGATGCCGGATGGTTCTAGGGCAAATTTTGAGGTTGTCACATGCGAGGACATGCCGTCAGTGGCGCTGTATAAGGCTGCTATAGAGAGGCTAGGAGAAGTCTACCCTTGAGCGAGGCTTGAGGTAGTGGAATGCCTCTCTGTGCCTTAACCATGAGGATTTAAATTTGAATTCGCATTGATTTGAATAGAAAAAAATTTCATTTATTTTTTTTCTCTTATATTTTATTTGTTCCTACTGACAATAAAAGGAAAGTTTCAACAAATTGAACATTCCACAAACAAGGAATCGAAGCCTTTTGCAATGGCAGATTGGGGGACACTTACGGCAACAAGAACTGGGATATGGATTATGTTCACGACGGCAAGAAAACTGGTGGACACAGAATGAAAATCAGCAAAACTTTTTCAAGTGTCAATCGCTTTGGGATTTGTTACCATCACTATTACACATGCTCTTGTATAAATCAGTGGTACGCAAACTAGTCCACTGAACAGTCTGCATGTTTCTTATTTGGTGTACTATGTTTGATTGTACATATGTTATTTTCGCGCAATTTCTTTGCAATCGGGATTATTTATTATTTGGTGGACGTCCAAACCTGATACGTGCCCTTTTAGCTGCCATTATACGCAATTCTTTAAAAGTTCAATAAAAATAATATTTCTTCGATTATATTAATTCCTTATATTTCATAGAAAAATTCACTTAATATAAATAGTAAAATTAAATTGACGGTTATTTACGTAGCCAATCGAAAATGCTCGACGAACGTTGAATATCACTTTTATGTGGCATATACAAAAGTTCGTAGATCCAAGCGCCAAAAACTCCACCTAGAGTTGAACCGATAGCTGGCATCCAATCGGCATCGAATATATTTCCGTCAGAGCTGAAATGTAGAAATGGATTTAATGCAACCTCCGATATGCCACTACCGCTCAAAAGGCACGCCGTATATGCCAGGCCTATGGCCATAGACATGGAACTACGTTGAGTACGATACTGATTATCAGCCATGGCCCGAATCAACATGATAAACATAATTGTTAGGATCACTTCGAGCAATATTTTTTGCCAACTTTCTAGAGACTTGACCTCAGCATCGGCGTTTGCATTGGCAAATGCATATGATCTATAGGCGATAACGGCAAAAACGGCTCCCAAAAACTGCATCATAATATAAAAAATAAATCGTAATGTGCCCATCTCACCCACCACGAAAAACGACAATGAAACAGCTGGGTTAATGTGAGCGCCACTTATACGACTGAATAGTTTGGTTAGTGCTGCCAAGGTGAGGCCTTGCGCGAAGGCCACCTTAGTCACCGCCCATCGTGTAGCTTCCACTGTGGAGACGGTCTTTCGCACCAACATTAGGAAAAAAGTGCCAAGAAACTCACAAAGAAGTTGCCGCCGGAAAAAATTATTTCTTAATTCGTTCGTTCCCAATTGTGGAAACATTATCTCGGAAAAGAGATTCGAAAGTCACACAGACGTTAGATGATACACGGTATTAGCTTATAAAACGTATTTGAATATTAATTTTTAAAATTTTGATAAAAGTATATTGACACTTTTTTGAAGTACTTACTTAATTTGATTTTTGATCCAAGGCGAATTTGCCTTGATTTGATCGTTAAGTCATGTGCATGACAACACCTTATAAATCAGGTTCATCCTCCTCAGGTTCAACTGGTGGCACAGCGAAAATCGATTTATAAGTAAAGGCTCCCAAAGTGCCACCAATCATCGGAGCTAGCTAATAAAACCAGTGATCTCCCCAATTCAAGTAAATCAAAGCCGATCCAAAAACAGATAAACTCCGATTAACCGATATGCAGAAAAGTATGCCACAATTTTGACTCTTTACACTTTCCGCCAGAAAGACCCAAATAAATGTGAGTAGCACTTCAATTATTATTGTGCCCGCAGTAGAGACATGTGGATGTTTTGGCAGCCCCAGATGTGTTCTTTTCAATTTGGTAGGTAGTATAGCAAGCGCCGCTACAACTCCAACTACAGAACCCAAACATTGGATTATAATGAACGGAAAACACATTAGCAAATTAATTGAATCAACAACGTTTGTGCCCATTGTAACAGCAGGATTAAGGTGGCAAGTACTGCGGCGTCCCAGAACTTGTGATACGCCAGCGAACACCAAACCCAAACCGAAGGCAATCTGTTCGATTGAAGCACCTGCTGAAGGACAATCTGATCGATTTAATGCTTCTTGTGGATCAACGTACTGTTGTGCCATAGTAAGAATTAAAGTGAGAGTGGCGATGGCTAAGGTACCAAAAAATTCGGTAGCCAATAAAATCATATTGGTTTTAGTGCAATCGTCTAATCCGAGAAATTCGCGTACCACTCTTCTATCTTGGCTTACTTTAGTCTCCGACATTTTTGGATGTAATTTATTTTGTTTTTTTTTTAGGAATACTTTAAAAATATCAGTAAAAAGAATGTGATTGTTAAACTGAAAAACTTACACAGTTAGTTTGAGCACTGAGCTTCAAAGTACAATATGCTAATTAAGAAAGTTTAGTACTATGACTAACGACAAGACTTGTCTGATGTTATGTCTGCGGTATATTGCATATATAGTAAATATATAGTTTTGGTGATAAATGTCATACAAGTACTGCTAACCACTTTCTTACTGAGGCAGGCATCCTACTACTGGAGAGAATAAAAGAAATGGCGTCGATTTTTGTACCACGAAACTGTTGACGTACGGCCATGAAGTTTCAAAAATGCCTGTTGGTGAAACCCAGAAAGGCGAAATACGAGTGGCGACTGCCTTTTTCGCGACCTAAGGTAGTTAGAGTTGACACATCATCTCGTGACTGATAATACTATTTACAGGACTAATTTTTAGAATAAATAACAAAACTTTTCTTTTATTAGGTTCACAAACATTTCGCAAAGAATGAGCTGGAGCGATTTCGCATGAACATTTGAATATTAAAAAACTTAGTGCGCGTCGGGTACCGGGAATACCCACGCTGCTCGACAAACAGTCGAGATTGGAGAGTTGCAAATATTATTTGGATTTTGATAAAATTTGCAACTGCATTATATTAGTTAAAGAAACTTGAACTCGTCAGTATGATGCCGAGTCCTAACAGAAGTCGATGCCACAAAAAAAAAAAACAAAGTGGAAAAGTCAAAGATTATGGCTACCGTTTTCTGGAACAGCGGGATAATATTATTATTTCATAACTTGCCGAAGAGAACTACAATAAGGGCCTAATATTACGAGCATGAGGCAGTCGTACAGAGGAGACGTGACAAGTTAACACGCGGAGAGTTGTTTCATCAAAACAACGCACCCATTGACACAGCTCGGGTTGCACGGAATGCTATTGGATTTACAGAAATTGATCATCCAGAGACTTCTTATTTTATTTTGTCAAATTTACAAAAAGGTTAAGGGGTGAATGACTTTCGGACAACAATGAGATGCCAGTGGCCGAAGAGAACCATTTTGAAGGAAAATTTAAAAAATAAATTTTCAGTGGTATTAAGGAATTCTATTCCTGATGTGAAAAGCGTATTTCATTTAGGCAGCGAACTCATCAGCCGTCTTTCATAATTCGGCACTATTGACAGTCGTAACTCTAAAGTTGTATTTAGATAATTTCGTCTGTTTTGGAACAAGTATTAACGCCAACAACTATTATAACACAAAATCACTAATGCCAAGAGTTATTATTTGCGATAGAGTAGACAATTAAAAACTGAAGTACTCTTTCGACAAAGAAAACTAACGCAGACTTCCCGTTTCAGACGCCAAGCTATATGAGATATAGGGCGACATCCACATAAATCATCTTAGTAAAAGTCAGCTAGATGCGTCGAATTTCTGATGATTTGCGAAAAGAATAAAAATGCTTTTGTCACCATTGATGCGGCTGGAGATACCTTATACTTTTTATATTAAGCCACCGAACTTCAGATGCTTGCTTCAAGTCAGAATTACATTAAGAGGTGTTGACATTCCCTGCCCAGGGGAGATCGCAAATAGAAAGTTCAGCTTAATTTAAGTGAACCACAGCCACCCATAGACCGGGTAAATTCAAATCATTATGAATTGGATCATTCATGGCCTTAAACACGATCACCATCACGAAAGTTACGCATTGTTCAATGAAAAGTGTTGCCAACTCGTTGACAAATAACGATTTTGAAACAGCAAAAAGTGCCCAAGAGTACACATCACAGTACTGTATTATTATAAAAAAGAAGTAAAAATGTCTATATAAAAGCTTAGGCCTTTTGTGGTACAGTTTCAAGAAAATCGAATCACAAATAAGATTTTTTAGGTTTTGACATTATTTAAAAAGGTCATCAAATGTTGTGAGCTGATGGGTAAAGATCTTTTTTGAAGAAATCAAATATTTTTTAAATTAAAACATAATTTTTTCGACATACAACTATTTATATATATATATATGTATGTATATAGTAATTTAAAGTTTTTAGAATAAAGAAAAAATGTAATGCAAATATTTAGAATTTTATGACTTATGTTTTATTTTTATGATATCAATTTCATTTTTTAAATAATAAATTTTCATCTTTCTAAAATTGAAAAAAATAATGCAATGCCTTTTAAAATAAACAAAAAAGTAAAGAAAATAAAACGTACTCACGAAAAAACCAAAGGCTTTGCATTGTACTTTCTGATATCTAATGGAAATAAAATTATTTTCATACGGTTTAGCATTAAAGTTGAAATTATGAAGACTATTTTCAAAATTTTTGGAAACTCCCCAAAATTGAACCAACTATCTCATTAAACTTATGATTTTATCGTTATTGCAACCTTATGTTCCATAAAGCTTGGTTCAAAGATCATGACATAAATTTATTTTCCAATTTTGCTTAATTTTTGTTCTAGCAGTTTAATTAAAAAAAATTTCGTTTTTCTAAAAATTAGAAATATAATACTAAATATTTCGTTAAGCTTTTCATTGTCAGCAAGGAATTAAGAATGGTAAAACATACTGACTAAAAATTCAAATGCTTAGCATTTTATTATCTAAAACCCAATTGAAATAAAAGTAATTTCAGGTATCTTAGAATTTTTTTATGAAAAAGTGTTTCAAAATTTTTTAAAGTGCCAACATCCTGTAGTTGAAATGTAAATAAGATATGAAGTTAAACATTTTTTTCTGGCAATTTCATGTTGATCGAAACTTCATTTTTTTTCTTTGTGCTAGAGAGTTATACTTTGATTTTCAAATTGAAAAAGTTGTAAAGACTTTTAATAGCTACAAAAATGAAATTCAAGGAATTTTTGAGTGTCAAGGAGTTATTTTTGAACTCAAAAATTGTACTCACTAATTTGAGACATATTAAAAGCTCAAAAGAAAAACTGTTATACCAAATACACTCGAACACCTGTTGCAATTAATTAAGCTGCTTTGTATACTTTCTCTAACAGAACGAACAAAATGTTGATGATATAGATTAAAAAAGCCGGCAATACTCAGAGTTCCCGCTTACATACGCACTAGAATCTCTCTCATGTTCAGAATAATGTGCGCTCACGTTTATATTATTGAGCTCACTCAGCCAATAGCCACTAAAAAAATAAATTTATAGAGAAGAGTCGAACTCTTACGAACTAATATACACCTCAATCCTCTCGACGAGGATTGACAATCAACGAAGGATTGGTAAGTGATGATAAGTTTTCGGGTTTTCCTTATATTCACCACAGCTTTGCATTTCAACTTCATTGTCATCCCGCCGCACACCATATATGTGCACTCGTACTTTCAGGCCGACTAGATGTCTTCATTTGAAGAATTCAGTTATATTTTTACTCTCTGCGAAACAGAACGTATGTGTTGTGAGTGGACGCGTTAAAATGGTTTTGTTTATATTTTGCTTGGCAACCGACCGAAAATAATTCTGAAAATTAAATGAAATGTATAGCATAAGTGTACATAATCAGCTTGCGGAATGATATGTTAATAAATATGAAAGAATTAATTACAAAAAATTTAATAAATTTAAAATGTAACAATCCAACTTTGAAAGTCATTATACTACTGCGCTGCAACATTGCTTGCTTCCTATTGGTGCGCCACTTGCAGCCACAATTTGTTAGCGGTTTTCCGTGTTTTGGGAGAAACTATGAAGGAATGAAATGCGATGAATGTCAGGATTATCATTGAGAAAACTGAAATGGGGAAAGAAACAGCAAACAATTTGATTAAAAAAATAAATAAATGTATAAAACATAAGAAACAATTTAACATACAAATTTAAATATATAATATATATGTATGTATATAATTTACGCTTTGTAACCGCTGAAGCGATTTTCGGTCAACCTCCTCCTATAATTTGTGGTTTTGCTACTTGATGTTTTTCCAACAAATGCAGGAATCTTTAGTTTAGACTAAACCGCCTCCAAACGGCTGATGATATTTTTTATGAGGAGCTTTATTTCAAGTCAGAAATATACTCGGAAGGGTTGATTTCCCTGACGAGGGGCGACCGCATTTAAGAAATCAAAAATTAATTTTTTATTTTAATTGATTTCCTATAAATTTTTGGATGTTAATACGATATCAGGATTTGAATACGAGCGTTCCAAATGGCAGTACGCAATGCTAACCACTCGGCTACCGCGTCTGCCAATAGTGTGTTATATTTTAGGGGCACTAATTAGTACTTCGATAATTTCAGTTTTAACCAGAGTTGCTCAACTAACGAAACCATGTCATTTCGTTTTGACAGCATGAAAAGCAAACGTAGCAAATGGCGCCATATTGAAATGGTTAGTGTTAAAACCGCAAAATTTCATCATTAACGTTTAGCTTATAACGATTTCTTGCTATGGTATTAACAACCTACTTTAATTTTAACATCTAACACTTTTTGTTAACGATTTAACCTTAACAATAGCTTTTCATTAATGGCAACATTTCCAAATCATTTAAACGAATAGAAGTAAATTTTTTGATTAACATAAATTTTATTGTTTAAACTAATTTTAAATAATGCGTGAAATTCAAAGCAATATCGCAATTTAATAATACAGTTTTTGTGAACTTATAAATTTAGTTGTATGCATATAAGTTCATATAAGTTGAAGTTACATAATCTTAAAGTTTTTCTTATGTAAATTGATAATTTAAAAATGTATTGATCAAAATAAAAACCAAAAACTACCAAAGTGGCTACTCAGTACACAACATATAAGATGAAAGAAGCACTCCCTTTATAAAACAACACCATCAATGAAGTGGCAAGATAGCAGCAGTTCATTAGCCTTTTGGTCAAACAAACAGTGAAAGAAGCACCAATCAACAAACTTGTGAAATTGTATCTGCGGTTGTATTCCACTTGGTTGCCACAGTGAGACAGTGCTTTTTGGCTGCT